CCCGCCTTTTGAATTTTCCTTCCTTTTTGACATTTTTCAAATGTCGTGTAATCTATTTGATTCTCGGCGACCAATGAAATGGCCACGGAGAGCTTTAGTGAAGATATACTTCATTTTAACTTATTAAATTCACTAGTTTTCGTGGTCCGCTACCAATTAATATCTTTCAGTTAATTAAGGTTTTTAGTTGAGATAAAAAAGTCAGTGTCACGAGCGGGATTCGAACCCACGACCTTCGGCTAGATAGGCCCCTACTCTACCACTTGAGCTATCGTGACTTCGATCCACTCGGACTTTTTATCTGAACAAAAAACCTTAATTAATTAAAAGATATTAATTGGTATATTAACTCTAACCACTCCAAACATACTGTGAAGTTCTGTTAAGCCATTCAATATCTTGCACACCAATCCTTCCAATCAAAATTACTCACACGAAAATCCCCTTTTATGTCACTTACCTCACCTCACTCAGCAATCTGAACATTTGTTTTGCCAATGAACTAAACCGTTCCCGATTCTTAAAGGTCCATTCCAACCACTCGCTCCATCCTGGCTCTACTACTAATGCCGTGTCAATATTACTCAACGTCTTTCCCCCATTGTCTTCCAACGACGATGACCTACAAGACTCACCACACTTTAATCCCTAACATTGAGTACTAGCATTAACGGATTTTTCACATGTTTCCTTCTGGACATCGGTCTGACGTGAAATCAATACACTAGACAAGAGACGACGAATGAGCCGAAGACTTGAGCAACTCCAAAAAATTCAAGGATCAAAATCTTTAATGTCGGAAAAACTAAACTAACTTTGTACAAGAAATTTCTTTGACCACGTTGGACATACTGTCAACAAGCTCTCCGTATCTGGCACATCCTGCCAATCAAGTCCTCATTCGAAAGAGCTTAACTATGTATTACTGACCTCATTATACTCAAGGACCTGAACATTCTTTGATCAGTTTCGGCTTTTTAAAGTTCCATTCCAACCTCTCTTTTCAAAACCTTACATCCGGAAGACCCACCAGGTCTCCTAAGCGACGATGGCCTGGAGACGTTCTTACATCTAAATCCCTAAGTGCCAGCGCTGTCTAATTTTTCATAACATGTTTGGATACTAAGGATAGCAGATTGAAGTAGAATCGATACACATGACAAGAGAAGACTTGAAAATTTTGTTTGACAGTAAACACAGAAATACCTTTGAACAAAACGTTATTTTGACTATTTTGGATATTCTTGGAGAGGAATCGAAGGGTTGCCAAGGCGATATCTCCAATAGGACCTACAGTATCCCAGTTGTATCCCATTTTTTTCATTAAAACTACTAACGAACTATCGAGTTCATCTACTACATAACTTTGGTGGATGACCTGACCATTACAGATTTTTAAAGATCAATTCCATCCTATGTACCTAACTCTCTACAATTTCCCATCCATAAACATGAAGTCCTCAAGGCCTTTTTAGCCTTCTTTAGCCTCACACATTGAGTCTTTGCGTCAGCTGATGAGTGTTATGAACATAAGAAAATAACATTGGTATTTCTATATGCATAAATACGTACATTGTACAAAAAAAGCTTATACTTCATTGTAAAATTTGTTTTTGTTTTCTATTTTTTTCCTAAGCTGCACCCTTTCTTTGCCTTTTAAATCGTCAGATGCGAATCCTTGAGTGAAGAATCAACCTAATGTACCGTGTCATTAGATACTACCGCGGGAAAGCCCCCTTTCCAGCTTAAAACGCGAATCTTGGAGGTGAAAATCATTCTTATCCTAACATTAAATCTCTTACAGCTCTATCAAAAAAATTCCGAATGATTCATGGCCTGCCGATTTATCAAATCTGAATTTAAGCCAAATATTAAAGATCCAAATAATAATAAATAAAGATATCAAAGAACCTTAACATAAAATATATCTATTTTACAGATTGTCTTTTTCATACTAGATAATGTGTAATTTTGAAATATTGAAAGTATTTAATTATCATGTACTTTGCAAACGTTTTATCTGTAAATTGAACACTGAGGTTGAGACTGAAGCAATTAAAATAGAAGTTTTGTTTAAACTAAACTAATATTGTTTTTCATCTTTGCTTTGCAACACTTGGTACTTCCCTATATGAAATCTTAGCAGTTCATCTGGCCACCGCATGAAACTATTAAACCTCAATTACTCCCTAGTACGAAACTTTCTCAATTATGAAAGGTGGCAGAAACATCGAACCGTGGTTGTTAATTTGTAGAAACAATAGCTTTGTTGTTAGAGATTCTATTTTTTTTTTAATTTACTGCAAATAGTAATAATGGTACAGAGGATAAGACTTTCATCAATGTAAGTGCTGGAAAAAGTCCGCTCCCCCAATGAAGGCAATTCGACATCTCTGCTCGACATTTTGATGGAAGATACAATACCTGGTACGTTTGACATTCCCACAAGAAAACGAACTTACTGATCATAATAAATCCTTTGAGTTGTTATACAAATTTATAAAAGATTCATCTATTTGTGTTTAAAATCGTATATTCAATTTAACTAAAATATACATAAATGCATATCAATATTACAACTCAATACTATTTGAAACTCATTACAGAAATTGGAGGATATCGTCGTAATCGGTGAATGTCCAGCATTAACAATTTATTCATAAAACAAAGGCTAAGTTATAAGACTGAATATACCTTTTCTATTTTCGTCTGATGAAACGGAGAAAATAGTGTCGCTTTTTTTTTTTTTTAATTTATTGTCTAGAAAGCAATATTCTGTTCAATGCAGTTAGATTGTTACAAAAAGTAAAATAGGTGATGAACCAAATAAAACACAACGAACAAGATAATCTGGATACAGAATTACAACGAAAATTACGAATAGTCTTAATCAGACCCCATTATTAGAAATGGGGACTGACTACATGGTCCCGGAAACAATCTTCACAACTTCCTATAAAGTCTCAACAGACTATAAAGGAGAGGAAGAACACAGGAGAGCATCAGATACAATGATATGGTACACAGATGGCTCCAAAACAAACGAAAGAACCGGATCAGGCATTTTCTGTACAAAGCCAAAATATGACCAATCAAACTCATTAGTACACATCGAAGTACACTTCGGTTTTTCAAGCACAAATACATGCCATCAATGCTTGGGCCTGGAAAATCTTATAAGAGGTTACACTGACAAAAAAATCCCCATAAGATCAGATAGCATTAGCATGTAAAAGAATCACATCAAAATTAGTCAGTGAATACATCCAAAATCTCCAAAACCTGGGGAAACACAACAACCTGATGATATCTTGGGTGCCAGGACACAGGGGAATTTTGGGTAACGAGAAAGCAGACAGACTGGCCACAGTAGGATCTGCAAGACCATACATAGGCCCCGAACCTATCCTTGGGATAACAAAAACAAATATAGAATCCTCTATCGCAGAATGGATCCAAGCAAAACAAAAAGAGAAGTGGATAAACTCTAGCGGTGCTAGACATAGTAAACTTATTATGAAACAACCCTCACCAAGATTGGCAAAAACACTCCTACAATCGGAGAGGGCAAAACCCAGAGGAGTGGTAGGACTACTAACCGGTCACTGGCATCTGAGAAAACATCTACACAACATGGGTATATTCAGCGATGATCCCATCTGCAGATTATGTAATGAGGAGGAGGAAACAGCCACTCATATCATCTTCGAATGAGAAGCAACAGCTCAAAGGAGGTTTAACCTAACGTACGGAAAAGACTTAGGGAATCAAATTGCAGCAACAACAGTCAATGACCTGATACTTCTAAGAAGAAGGTACAATAAGCCAGAAGGCTGCAATGCCTGGGGAATACAAACCCCGCTTCATAGTACCCTTTCCACCATACATACATACGAATAGTCTTCATATATAATAAATTAAGAATTGCCATCTGTGCATCAATTCAAAGCGAACCTCAGAAACATTGCATTATATTTTTAACATTAAGAAAATAAAATTACAAAACTGTGAAAAGAAAAGTAATAATATAGTAATAGTATTAAAATTGTAAAGATGGTAAATACAATGAACTTTTAAATATTATAACCTATTTCTCTCCTCCCTTTGTATTTCAATTGGTTAAAATTTAAATTGGTTCAATTGGTTAAACAAACTTAATCCTTAATCTAAAACAAAGAAGGGATTTTTCAATGTTTACTTATTACGGCATTTAAAATGTTTATTTAGTCTCATTTGAAATCTGAAGGAATAAGCTGTTTAGTTTTCATCTTGGTTTTCTTAATTTCAATTTTTAAACAAAAACACTCTCAACACGACAGACAAAAATGACACATCTGCACGGAAAACACTTTGAACCCTAAAGATGATCTCGATAAAGATCGAAACGTTGGCACGATAAAGGAAATGTTTTTCTAAAACCTTCGTCACACCAGACCGCATCTCACGACCTCCAAATAATCATTTTAAACATAAAAATGCCACTTAGTGTTGAGGATGTGGCACTTATTGATGTTAGACGTTCAATATTGCCATCGGAGTTTCCTACGAAACTCTAAACGACGCCGTTAGACGTTTACGAGAAACTGGGTCCTACCATAGAAGGCCCGGTTCCAGACGTCCTACGATAACAGAACCACCGATTTTTACTTTGAGAATTTTGCGAAACCGGCACCTTACCGTTTTCAAGCTTTCATCAGCTCCAGGAAGTTTGAGATGTCCAAATCTCTGAACGCACTGCTCAAAGAAGATTAAATCGTATGGTCTGATGGCTTTTGTCCCCATAAGCCCCTAGAATTGACCGGAACACATGGAGTGGCAAGGCACTTTACTCGAGAACACAGCCATTGGTCTTTGGACGATTGGTCCGCTGTACTTTTTACAGATGCGTGTAGATTTGCTCTACGATCTCCAGATGGGCGTGAAAGAGTGTGGAGAAGGCGAAATGAAAAGTACGAAGCCTGTAATTTTTCCAGAGCCAACCTTTTCAACGTAGCACAGTGATGGTGTGGGCAGGAACTCCAATGGAGAGTCTCACAGAGTTGGTTGTTTTTCGTGGAGGGTCTTTGATAGCACCTCGCTATGTAGACGAATTTTTGAAACATCATGCGTTGCCTATCCTCGATGAAATCAGCGACAAGCCTATTATAATGCACAGTAATGCCCGACCACATGACCACATAGTACGAATGTACCTTCAACAGGGTCTTGGCCTGGCCAGCCCGTTCTCCAGACTTGAACTCCATCGAACATTTATGGGATAACCTCAAATGACGAATCACTTGGACTCAAATCAAAAGCACGTCCATTACTTCCTGATAACTCCATGATCTTGAAAGGACTATCCGTGAAGAATGGGCTAACCTCCAAGAGTCATTTCTAGACTAGTAGAAAGTATGCCGAAGCATTTGAGATTTTTTAAGATTGAAAATCTTAGACAAATTTTATCTGTCAGTCTTTTTTTTCGTTTTTCTTAGCAATTTACATTTTTTACTTTTTTAGACAAAGACTCAATTATTAAACGTTAAAATACAAATCAAATTATATTACAAGTGGGCGGAATTTTTTGCATGTCAGTGTATACTACGAAATAAACTATTATTTTTTGTGCACAAAATCTTTTCAAAATGCTGGGAAAATCTTTTAAATTCTTAAAACGAATTTCAATGTGAAATGAACATTCCAATATAAAGCGTTCTACAGTGTCTGGCTTTGAGTCCAGGCAGAATAGACAATTTCTTCGAGGCAAAGGAATACCTAAATCCATTGATATATAACACTGGTCTTTTAGGGTTGAACATCCGCAATTGGAACATAATACGAGCACAATTAATACGAATGTAATTAAGGTAATTCTCTCTCCTCCCATATCGCTAATGTGCCCAAAATATTTATTCTGTTTAGAATTGATTGCTTCCTCAATATGTAGAGAGTGACGGTGGTTATTGCATTTCTCAATGAGATTGTCTACATGTACATTAAGAACGTTTGCATTCTGCGTTTCCCAGTTTAAGATCTATCCAAAAATCCGTGTTTTCAGGTTGAGACAATTTCTTTCTCAACGGACACCTTAGTCAGAGGTTCTCATGAGATATGAAATAAATATTTTTTTAAACTTCTGTTACACTTTTTCTATTAAGTCGGAGTAATTGGGCGCCCAGAGTCAAAACAGTACAATGATATTGACACGATAAGAGAATTAAACCGAATTATTCTGTTGATCAAGAGTTGGACATAAATAATTTTAATATATTCAAGACAAGAAACGAAGAAAATAAATTGCTGCATTCTTGAAGCGTGAAGCGGTTGAGGTTTAGTGCTTCGTTTATGGGCGATTTTCACTTCCAACTGGGTGGGACTCACACCTATAAAAAGGATGCGATTTAAACGAGGCATCCTCTCACAAAAGGCATTGTTAAAGGATTGAGTGAATTAAATATTCAAAGAGATGAAATCTGTGTGTTTAATAGTCTCCGTTTAGAAGAGCGATTGCTGCCTTCAACGTACTAGGTTTTATGTCAAATTTCTAGTAAATAAATTAGTTAATTTTTTCTTAACAACAAAATTCACCAAATACAAGCTCTTGTAAAGTTTTCATCCTATATTTCCGATCTTCTTGACCTCGTTAATTTGCCAAACAACATTGACAAATTTGAGAGAGACTTAAAGAAAATACATATTCTCATGTCATTATGACAAAAAAGCATAATAAACACCTGTTCACGAGTATTTCGGCTTTAAGACAAAGTTTTTCAAGAAGAGATGTTTCTATCAAGCAACTTCGTAACTAGATAACTTCTGCCTCAAGGTTAGCCTATATCAAAACCAATGTTAACAAACTTCTGAAAAGACAGATTTGTTATCTGTTTTAAAATGTCTAAAATTGTTAGATGAAATTTAATTTTATCCTACTTTGACTACCTTATTGATCCTTTCTTTCTCAATCTAATTTGTTCCTTTTTTCCTGGTTCTTTTGTGAAAACTTTCATTTTAAGGAAGTAACACGTGGTAACTGAAGCAAGTATATTACGAAAATACCACTTTTACATAGTTAACAGGTTCCAGACCGTGCTTACGACGAGTGTTCTATTAATTCCAACAAACAATACGTGCATTTTTCCTTAAAGATTTCGTAAGCGGGACATGGGCTTTCGGGCAAAATTTTATAATGCCTACAGCAGGTTAATCTGGATATTGGATGGCCAAAGTAAAGTTTTGTTCAAAGGTAGTTCGGTTTTTACTGTCAATATAGGTTTCATTTGTTCAATTCTTTATAATTGTCTTCTGTTACGTTGTCGTCTCTTGTCTTATGAAGAGATTACACATCAGTCTACTATCCTGTTCTGCAAAGATCAATGATTGAAAAACCAGTTTAGGGATGGGAGTCTTTAGGCCATCGTCGTTTAGGAGATTTGAAGGGTTTTCCGGTTGGAAAGTGTAGAAAGCGCAAAGCAGAAAGTTAAGATGGAACGATAAGTTGGAATGAAAACAGAAAACTGATCAAGGAATATTCACGTCGTTGAGAATAATGAGATACATAGATACATTGTGCATACATAGATGCAAATGCAAATATAAATAGATAGATGGCTTGTCGAAACCTGACAATAGTAAGATTGATCTGAATATTGGATGGTCAAAATAAAGCTTTTTATGAAGGTTTTTACGTTAAAAACGGATATCGGTCTTGGAATATTTTGTACTTATCCAAGTCTTTGTTACGTTGTCGCCTTTTATCTTGTATAGGGATTATTTTCAAACATCGACCACTGAGATCTCTAGGTCTCTTTGTGTAGAAAATATAAATATGTATTTTTCTGTACGCCATGGAGAATTTATAAATGTTTTAATTCTTTCATTGTTCATCCTTTTTCATCAATTATTTAATATCTTCTTTTATTTGCAGAGTGATTTTTGTTTTTGTTTTTTGTATTTATTGACATAGATTTATCTGTATTACAATTCCAATTTCACTTATTGTTTGAGTTAAGGAATTACAGGAAGAATGAATGAATCATTATAATAAGAACAATGAAATGATCTATTGTGTAAATTGCGGGAAAACAACTTGGAACCTTCTTAATCAGTCAAATTCTAAACTAAGTTTCCATCTTGATTCTACTCAATGCACTTGCTTCAGTTTGCACATAACCATTCACAAGGGTGGTTGATACAACTACCCACATGATAAACCTTGTCTTAAAGCTTCCAAACTTGTTAACAATAACAATAAATAAAACAATTTAAGAAATAAAAGCACGTTTTTATCTTTACGTGGTTTAGTGACCGTTAGTTAATGATTATACGGAGATCGTGAGATTCGGTGTGGTATGGTTTTCGAAAAACATTTTCTTTATCGTGCCAACGTTTCGATCTCTATTGAGATCACCTTCAGGCCCTGGGATTTATAAACATTGTTTTAATTTTACAAATACATGTAGGATGCAAAAAATAATAATTTATACAATGCTAGAAAATTTTAGATTTAAAAAAAATTAATTTATACAATGCTAAAAAATTTTAGATAGAAAAAAATTAATTTATACCATGGTAGAAAAAAATTTAGATATAAAATCCAGTGAGATATTGATGTTTTATGTTTATATGGCACTCTCAACACGACACACAAGAATGACACATGTACACGGAAAACAAACACTTTGAGTGAGTACAAATATTTTGATTGAATCGCAAATTTTCTAGCATTGTATAAATTCATTTTTTTCTATCTAAAACTTTTCTAGCATTGTATAACTTTTTTTTTAATCTAAAATTTTCTAGCATTGTGTAAATTCATTTTTTCCACGTCCTACATGTATTTGTAAAATTTAAACAATGTTTATAAATCCTAGGCCCTGAAGATGATCTCAATAAAGATCGAAACGGTGACACGATAAAAAAAAAATGTTTTTCTAAAACCTACGTCACACCAGACCGTATCTCACGATCTCAGTCTAATCAGTTTTTATCCTTAGTTGATTGATATACGTCCATTTTCTCTAATTATATCCCGAATTTAGTATAGTAGTTAGTGGTAAAATAAGCAGAATGATCTACAAATATCTTAGTGTATTTAAGAATCGTTTAAATAAAAAAGGTTTTTTTGGCGAATTGTTCACAATTTACAGCTGTAAAATAATTAATTCTTTCTTTTTTTGTTATTGCTAAGATTTTACTGTTTAACCCATTTATAAATAGGTTTATAAAATGCTAGTTCGACTATTTACGATAGGTTGAAATGTTTATTTAAACTTGGCTGAATACATACAAAGTGCCACTTGGATGGACCTTGAAAGGGTTTTGATGTAAGCCTTGAAGAAGCACAATGATGTATTCAAAATCAATGCTGAACTTTTAAATATAAGGTAATATCAAACTGAAATCCTATTTCCAATAAAGAAGCGGTGAGATCCGGTGAAGTGTGGTCGAGTTTAAGAGGAATAAATCATCTTTATTTGTTGAGAAAAGTGCGTTGGATGCTAATCTTGCAATACAGTCGCCACTTCCAATTTAGCGGAACTCGCAGCCCGGTTATTTTGATTACTAATTCCCTGCAGTATCTTCGTTTAATTAAATGGAAATCCCAAGTGCCTTGGCGCAAAAACGCTGTTTTATTCAGAAAAATGAATTGAACTCGTCAGTTTATTCGATCTTTTTCCGGACGTTTAATTGAATTTGTTCCCTCTGTTTGCACGATCTTTAAAGAGCTTTCAGATGTTGCACAAATATTTGTTATTCGTTTGTAAATAAGTTGTTAAGTACATCGAAAACTACCCTTTGCTTATTAAAGATTAAATTTAATTGAATCAATGAAAAGTTTTGTATAGAGACTAGTTGTAAAATTGGCCATTTAGACTCATCAGATTATTCAAATAATACACTTTCTATGTAACAGACTCGTCTCCTGAGCAAAATTTAATTTGATCATACGAAAACTATCTATTTTCGAAGTGATAACAAACAAACAAAAATTTTGTAAAAAAACCACTGTCTAACCTTTGATTTGGAATTCTGTGACATTTATTGGCCGTCAACAAACTTCAAATAGTACCCAATGAAGTTTCCCTGACAGATAAAACTTACAGAACTGTTTTGATAGAAAATAACAATGGACTATTATAAAATGACATTTCTTAAAATAACGACTTGTTATTGTT